AGAGGTACTCGCGTCGCCACCCATCTCCGTGGGCTCCTCCGACTCGAGCTCCATCTCCACGCCGCTCCTACTTTCAGCCGCCTAGACCCACCGGTCGATCTCCTTCTTCTCGAACCTCCTCCGGGCCTTCTCAGCTCTCTTCTTCTTTTTGGCAAGCGTTGCCTCCTTCAGAGCAGCTTGTCGAGCTGCGCCCTCCGGCCCCCTCGGAAGATGCGGCCGGGATTTGTAACCCGCGAGTCCCTACAAAATGGACAACTCAAAATCAAAACAATGGAAAGCAAGAGGGAAAAGGTCACGGAATAAGAAGAGGGAGCATACTAGATTGGATAGCTTTACGGAATGAAAAGGTCCGGGCATTCCTTCAAGGGAGTCTTTGTCCCTTAGTTGCAGCACCCGGTCGAGTCAACTCCAGACTTCGTCCTTTGGCAACTCCTCCGGTGATGCGCGGTCAGGAGGGCGACTCCATGGCAGAAGAAGGTGTGGAAGACCCGTAGCCCATCAAGCCCATGCTGCACCAGCTTCTGAAGCTCTGCCTCGTTGACCTCCAGCTTGTTCTGCCAACTAGAGGGACCCCATGACCAGCTTTCCCGCCTCTCCGGCCTTCTTCCGGTGAATGGCGGGAATGGCGCCTCCGCTAGGTTCCTAATGTAGAACCACTCATCATGCCACCCCTAATTGGAGTCATAGGGGGAGTACGCGGGGTAGGAGCCCGACAGCCTTGGCTTCTTCTGCAAGGCAAAGCCCCCAACCGGCGTGGTTTTGGGTGGCTTCCCCTCAAACAAGGCTCGCCTAGTGAAGATCCACTAAAAGAGGTCCACGTGTGGCTCTATCCTGAGGAAGGCCTCGTAGACGATGACGAAACCGGTGATGTGCAGCACCCTAGTTGGATTGAGGTGCTATAGCTCTAGGTCCCACTCATTGAGGAGCTCGTGCAAGAACCAGTGCGCGGGATATCCAAGGCCATGCTCATGGAAGGCAAGGAAGGAGACAACCTCATCGGCTCATGGTCACAGAACAGCTTCCCTTGGCGCAGGAGCCCTCCAACACGCCACCTCCTTCGACGCTCGACGAAGGCGGCCAGCACCTCCTCGTCTACATTGGATGGCCTCCAGTTCGACATAGCGCTCCAGATTCACGAACGAATCTGTGAGTTCTCTTCTCCCTCACCTTACCCTCTCTCTCCTAGAAACCGCTGCGACACACGAAGGAGGAGAGACAGCGGTTGGAGAAAGGTGAAGGAATGGGAAGAAAACCCTCTCCCTTCCCCCTATTTAATGTGGATAGGCATGTGGTGGGACGCGTCCTGACTGATGGGACGCGCCCTGCCAAACGAAACGTCGCCTGGTTAAAACAGGACGTGCCCTGTGTAGGGCCCACCACTACCACAGCCCCGGCGTAGGAAACAAGACGCGCAACCGCATGCAAACAACCCTCCACCTTCCCAGGCAGGGTTTGGAAGGGCCCACCAACAGGATCTCCGTCAAGGAAAGACCAACGGGCTACCTGAGTCGATCGGACGACTCAGGCGACTGTCGAGAGACAGGTAATGAGTAGTGGGATGCCCCATGTGGGCTATGACCGACTCCATCATGAATGATGGACAAAGATCCCATTCGGACATATCCGATAAAGAGCTCCTCAAACCCATCACTCGAGTCATCAAGGTAACTTTACCAAATCTTCTTACTTTATTTTATTTTCTAATGCATAATCATTCATTCATCCTTTTTCATACATGCATTCACACATTCATCCATACAATCATTCATTCATCCCATACATTCAAAGCATTGCATATGCAATTGATACATCACAACGCTTCATGTTGCATCACAAAGCAGTAATCGCCTCATTCGACATGAGCGACGACCGACCGGGGTTCGAAGGTCGGCCTACGAAGGGCTCGAGGCCGCCTTGCGTCAAACAGAGCCAGGAGAGAAAACACAGAAGAGCCCCAGCGGCCCTCGCCCGATCTGCTCAGAAACAGACAGGGTCATCTCGACCTTCTCGTTCGATCCTAACCTCAAGCCATGCCTACAGAATCTCCATCGAGGGGAGGCAAGTGGGCCACCTGAGTTAGTCTCCGGAACGACTCATGCATCTACCAGAAGGCGGGTTAAGGAGCAGTGGAATGCCACATGAGGGCTATGCCGACCCCGTTACGAACGACGGACCCAGATTCCACTCGGACATACCCGTTATAGAGCTCACTGAGGGCATCACTCGAGCCGTCGAGGCAAGTGACATTAGCTCAGTCCCTTCGATTGTGGAAACCCCAGATGGGGTAACGCATGAAACTAGACCAATCCCTCAGCCATGCCCGGCACTTGGGTCCACGCTCCGTCGCGCCTGACCCCCTGGTCGCGCCCGATGATAAGTCGAAAAATCCCTAGGCGATTCTACCCGAATCGCCCGGGGGCTCAGGGGCTACACCCACCGGGTGCGCTCGCGCGCACCCGCTGGCAAGTCAAAAAATCCCTAGGCAATCTCTAGGACCACCAAGGCTATGCCCCTTGCTGGGCTCTACCTCGTCCGACCCCCGAGGGTAGGCCTCGCCTTGGCTGACTCCCGAAGGTTGGCCCGCTTCGCCCGATCCCTCGAACATGGTCCCTAACGGAAGCTCGCGCCGCCGCCAACCACTACGGGCCAGAAAGTATAACCCTAGGTCAAACTTCTGGCATCGTACAGGGAGCGGTCGCGTCTCAGCACGACTCGTCTCCGCGACATGACGTTCTAGGGGGCTCACATCGACCCATAGTGACGGACGCATGGTCACTATGCTGCCTACACCCTGTACGACCGCTGATCAGCATGCTGGTTCATCGGTCCGATGCCTGTGTCCGCGCTCCATCGAGCCCAACCCCTCTGCCGCGCTCGACGCATGGGTCCGCGCTCCATCTCGCCCGACGGCGACTCACGATCTTACATCCATCCGTTGCTCTCGTACAACAAGTATAAACAGCCCCTTCACAACTTCACAGAAGTCCCAAAAGGGCTCGGGGGCTCCTATCGAGTTCATAAACCCAGGGTCCCCAATGGACCCGCTTTCCAACAAAAGTTCGGCCTAGCAGACGGCATTACAACAAACGCGTGACTCCTGGGCCGGCCTAGATACCTAACGATAGACCGGAAGAGGGATCCAGTCTCCGACCGGAAGGCCTGGCCAAGGAGGGGACAACACTCGCTTTCGACTCCGACCCACTTTTTCGATTGGAATACACCGAACCTTTGTTTACAGCTCTTCTCCGACTGGCGCGGTTGGAGCCGACTCAGAACGATCGACCGGGGACGCTCGCTCGGTGAGGACCCAAGAATCAGGCGGAGCAGATAAGGCAAGACGCTCAAGTGAACCGCAATATCAAGGACCGTACCCTGCACACCTGCAGGACAGTATCGCCAGGCCATGCCAGAAGGGTGCTTTGCAACCTTCTAGGCATGTCAGACCCCAAACAGTGTTGTGGGCGTCGGTATTTGTCTTACAGTGTTGTGGGCGCCGTCATTTGCCATACTAGGCAAACACAGTAAAGCCTACCACACGCGTCTGATATAAATAGTATTGTGGGTGCCGACGACCGTCTTATACCTGACAGCGTGGACAATAAGACTTAAGAAAACACGAGCACACACTCTCTCTCTCTCACTTGTAAGGCCACATCCTTCACCTATAAAAGGGGATGCACTCTCTCCCAACGGAGGACGGTCATTCCGACTCTCTCTCTGCTAAGCTTTAGATATTCTGAGCATTCGAACAGCTCCACGGCTCTAGAACTCTAAAACTACATAGAGCATACGTTTCAATACTTAGCGCACGTAGGAGCTTCCGTCACTCTTGGCCCTTCAGTCCAGAGCCCGACCGGACCTTTAACACCCCTTTCTTATTCCCACTTGTTTGTAACCCCACAGAAACTTTGAGCACCTGGGCTCAGAAATAAAGTCACTGACCGATTGAAACTGGATGTAGTGCATGTTGCCTAAACCAGTATAAACCCTGTGTCATTGAGTGCTAGGCCACATCCGATCACAACGCACGACAAAACTATAAATATTTACTTGTTGGTCACTTTTCGCCCCGACACGAACTCTACGATTTTATGATTAATTGATGGCTAAAATTTTAGAGTGAAAATAAGGATATGTTTGGTACAATTTTGTGCTACTTATAGGAGCCTTTTTTTTTCAAAATACACTAGGAGCCTGATTCTCATAGGAGCTATGTTTTATATCTTCTCACACTATGGGTCCTCGATTGCTATAGCACAGAGCCAGAGCTACAAAGAGCTCGGCCAAACGAGCCCTAAGCGTGTAAGCGAAGTGTTCAATTGCCATCGGATTTAGTATCGAAACTTGGCAATATCTCATGTTTGGTTTATCAATCTTCGGCAAATAGTTTTCACAACTCTTGATAACCATTATGTTGATTATTTCAAATTTTGCCGTATGAGCAAACGGGCATGCTGAACCAGTAAAGAAAGAGAGAGAAAAGTCTAGTCCTATGTTTTCTCGAAACGCAAATTTTTAGGGCCTATTTGAAATTTAAAAAAAACACGCAGAGAATTTTTACAGGAATTCACTTCTAAAGGAATTTTGTTTAAAATTAATTCAATTTTTTCATCTTTTTTTCATCACATCAATTTTTAGAATTTGCAGAGAAGAATTTCCTAATAACCAAAACAAAAATCCCTAGTTGGTCTACGATTGAAATAAAAAAAAAAAAGGACCTCAGTCTTCTAAAGGTTGTTGGGTAATTATATGGGATCGAGGCAAAAACACGGGCGCGCCACCCTGTTCAGTTCTCGACCCGGGCTGTGCTGTCTCGTTGCCTTCCTCCCCCTCCTGCCGCCGCCAGCCGCCGCCCGCCCGCCTCTCCACTTGTCCGTATCCATCCACTCACGAGTCACTCCCCGTCACCTAGCTCACTCGGCTCACACTCCATCACCAATTCACCACCCAAAACCCTAAACCCCATTCCGTACCTCAACGCCGCCGCCGCCGCCACTGCGATGCAGTCCATGGCGCTCACCTCCCCTTGCCTCCCGGCGGCTGGCTCCGTTCCCCGCCGCCGCCTCCAGCGCGTCCGCGCCACCGCGGTCTCCGACGAGGCCAAGCTCAACAAGTACAGCGCGCGCATCACGGAGCCCAAGTCGCAGGGCGCCTCGCAGGCCGTGCTCTACGGGGTCGGCCTCACCGACGCCGACCTCCGCAAGCCGCAGGTCGGCGTCTCCTCGGTGTGGTACGAGGGGAACACCTGCAACATGCACCTGCTCCGCCTCGCCGAGGCCGTCCGCGACGGCGTCCGCGAGGCTGGCATGGTCGGCTTCCGGTTCAACACCGTCGGCGTCAGCGACGCCATCTCCATGGGCACCCGGGGCATGTGCTACAGCCTCCAGTCCCGCGACCTCATCGCCGACAGCATCGAGACCGTCATGGGCGCGCAGCACTACGACGCCAACATCTCCATACCTGGGTGCGACAAGAACGTGAGTTCCTTCCCGCTGTCTCTGGTGTTGCAGATATGATCGATTGGGTGGAAATGTGTTCATACACCAGTTATTAGTTCAGTGGGACTGTGGGAGTGGAGTCAAAGGTTGCTGCTCTGAATTGTTACATGATACTCAAACACCACTAAATTCTTCATCCTGGTCTCGACTATTGTTTACTTCCTGCTGGAGATTGTGTTGGTTCGGAGTTGGTGGTGAAATTTTAGCTCAGTTCTAGAAAGGGAATAAAAATTAGCAATATGGACTGGAGCTTTCTTCTATGCTCCATGGCCATCTCATTAGTTTTCTTCTGGATGCAACAAAATTGCATTATTTGCTGAGAAGCAACGAGCTTTCCTATGTCTCTGGCAAAAAAAAGGTACCTAGCTTGTTTTTGAGTGGGTGCTGAGGTGATTGGACATATGTGTTCAGTCCAAGCTTAGGAACTAGTAGGAGGGAGTTAACATTTCTAGTTTTTTACTGTCCCATCCTAGAATAATCATGCACATTTAGATTTTAGTTGCAGCTGGATTTAGCGGTCCTTTGTTTGCAGATGCCAGGTACAATAATGGCAATGGGACGGCTTAATCGACCTAGTATCATGATATATGGCGGAACTATTAAGGTAATGCCCCCCTGGTCTCTTGCTGTATTAGTACTAATTCTGAAATGTGCTGTTCTTCAACAGAATGTTTGAATCCCTTGAATAATCATATGACATTTGTTAAGTGTGATGGAACAAACTGCTTTCCTGGACATCGCATTACTGCAATGTACAATGAGAACTGAATAACTGATTGATACAGTGGATAATTTATGCTAGAAATTCAGGTTAAGGTTGGAAATTGCCAGCGTGTGTGTTTTGGAGTCCTTGGCCAGTGATAAAATCTGTTAAATATGCATGGCTTTTCGGGCTGCTTCTTATTGACAATTTTCTGATGGAACTTTTTGGTGCAGCCTGGTCACTTTCAGGGCAATTCCTATGATATAGTATCTGCTTTCCAGGTATGTATATCACCTTTGGTCTGTTCGGCAACTCTATATCTTTGATAGAATAGAAGTGCTTATATGGCAATGTGCATTGTACAGCTAAGGTTTGCTTGCATTTTGATGTTTTGTGCAGTGCTATGGAGAATATGTTAGTGGTTCAATCACTGATGAGCAAAGAAAGAACGTCCTCCGCAATTCATGTCCAGGGGCAGGTGCCTGTGGTGGTATGTACACAGCAAACACTATGGCATCTGCTATTGAAACATTGGGCATGAGCCTTCCATACAGGTGCAAATTATATCTTGATTTTTTTTTCTCATTTGTCACTAAACAATAAATATGGTTTTTATTTATATAAATATGCTTGGAGGATGTATTTTGACTTCTTTTTATCAAACTTGCTGTTTTTATGTACCAAAGTTCTTCAACACCTGCTGAAGACCCGCTAAAGCTAGAAGAATGCCATCTTGCTGGGAAGTATCTTTTAGAGTTGCTAAAGATGGATTTGAAGCCTAAGGACATTATCACTGAGAAATCATTACGAAATGCAATGGTTATTGTTATGGCACTTGGTGGTTCGACTAATGCTGTTCTGCATTTGATTGCCATTGCTCGGTGAGTTATCATCTTCTTGCATGTGCTTTCTACTTAGGTTGACAAAAGCTCATTGGCTGTCTTCTTTCAGGTCTGTAGGTCTGCATTTGACTCTTGATGATTTCCAGAAGGTCAGTGACCAAGTTCCTTTCCTTGCAGACCTGAAGCCCAGTGGTAAATATGTCATGGAGGATCTGCATAAGGTAAATGTTTAATGGTATTAAGATTTACTTTGTTTTGAGCCAGGCTCAATCCAACTTAAGTTTCCAGTTTACCTTTTCAATCCATTATCGCTCTGTTGTGTTATATTTAATTTAATGCACTTACACATTGTGATATTCTTCACATAATTTCTATGGAAAGTTAAAGCTTAAACCAATAAAGCGAGAATACCTATAAACTTAAATTGATCATGCAATGTGTTTGAGAATAATCCACATGTTACAGATTGGTGGGACACCTGCAGTCATTCATTATCTTCTGGAGCAAGGTCTTCTTGATGGTGATTGCATGACTGGTGGGTACAGTCAATAATTTCTATTCTGTAATTTAAGATCTCTATATTTTAGTTAATAACATGGTCTTTCTTTTTCCCATTCAAGTCACTGGGAAAACTCTAGCCGAGAATGCCAAAATCTTCCCTCCTCTGTCTGAAGGGCAGGTAATACTCAATTGTGAGTTCTTTAGCCTTGTCAGCTAACACCTTGAATCGTGACATTTATCTTTGTTTCTGACACAGCAAATAATTCGACCACTTGACAATCCTATCAAACCAACTGGCCATATTCAAATACTTTATGGCAATCTTGCACCGGAAGGTTCTGTAGCAAAAATAACTGGCAAAGAGGGACTGTTCTTCTCAGGTGATTTGTTGCTTCTATCTCCAATCCTTGGAAGCCTCTGTACTATGTGTGGAATTTAACTGTTATTTGATAAAATGTCAGGCCCTGCATTAGTTTTTGAGGGTGAAGAATCCATGATTACAGCTATCTCAGAAAACCCAGCGAATTTCAAGGTAATATGTGCGATGCAAGTAATTTCTGCATGTGCTACTGTCGCTATTGCTTGCCATTTCTTCCCTCTTTTGGAGAGCACGATTGCCTTTCTTCTCTCTGCTAGTGGAATATATCGTCTCAGAGCAAGTTTTGCATTCATATGACAAATCATTTTATTGCCCTGATGGTTACAACAGGGAAAGGTAGTAGTGATCCGAGGAGAAGGACCAAAAGGAGGGCCAGGGATGCCCGAAATGTTGACTCCAACAAGCGCAATAATGGGTGCTGGTCTTGGAAAGGTACCACTTAGCTCATAGCTTAACATTTTTCAGCAATTATACTATATAAATTTTATTTGGTCTTAGATGATGTAGTGTACTAAAACAAGGTTTTTGACATCTCTCACCTCTTCACCTCTTTAGCACTGCACATTCATGAATGATGTTGAAGTAGTTGGTAATGTGACAACTAACTTATATGCATCATCTTCCTCATCTCAGATGATGCACAACTCTGATGTTCTTCTCCAGAAATTGTAGAAATTTCAAAGCAACAAGAGCTCTTCTTGCCATTGTTTTTGAGGTGTCGCCTAGGCGTTGCCTAAGCGACAAGGCATGGCAGAGGCTCTAGGCGTCGAATTTGGCGTATGGCGTCCGCTTAATTGAATTTGGCGTCGCCTAGGCGTAGAAAGGTGTCGGACGGACGCCTACAGCCCCACCATGGACGCCAGATGCTAATTAGCGAGGGAAGGGCGCGAAATTGACCGCGCGTCCGCGGGAAATCGACCGCGCTTCCGCGCCGCGGGGGAAGGGTGCGAAAATGACCGCGGCCCGCGGAAAATCGACCACGCGTGGCGCGGGAACTGTGACCTAGATAGGCTCTTCGCGCGAGAAATCTACCGCGCGAGGCATTTACCGCGAGTGCGGGCGAGGGGAGAGAGAGAGAAGGCGGTGGGCGGACCTTGAGCTCCGCTTTGCTGCTCCTCTGCTTGACAACTCGAGTCCACCGGCCAGCCGCCCCTTCCGAGGAGCCGCCCCTGCATCTCTGCTTGGTCGTCCGCACCTGCCGTGGAGCCGCTCCAGCATCTCCGCCGCTGCAGGCATCGGCCATCCGCATCTGCGCGTCCGCCGTGACTGTCTGCCTCCATCGGCCGTCCGCCTGTCCACAGCTGCCCGTTCATCTCGTGTCTCCACCTCCGCCGGCCGTCTGCCGTCAGCCTAGTATGCCCCTGCCTTCTCTCTGTTCCGCCTGGTATGCCCCTGCCTCCTCTCTGTCCCCTCCGCCTGTTATGACCCTGCCTGGTGCCTGGTATCCCGTCTCTGCTCTGAGTATTGTAGTATTTAATGCCTCGTGCTCTGCTTTTGCTCATGCTGCGTGCGCCTTGCTCGTGCTCTGCTTTTATATTACTGAGCCGTCTTTCTTTAGTGTTACTCACATATAGTAATGTCTGCTTGTGCTTGGACTTGCCACATACACTGCTACAGCAACATGGATTTGATTAGTATACACTTGCTTTGATTAGTTTACAGTTGCTACAGCAACAGGTCTTTCTTTGATTAGTATGTTACTGATTAGTAGTGCTCCCTTAGCTGTGCAAATTTGCTCTTTTCCTAAGGAACATGGGCTCAAGAATTGGCAACAAACGAGGTATACAATATGTGTATGGCGTCGCCTAGGCGTCCGCCACAAACGCCTAGGCGTTGTGAAGGGGGTCGGGCGCTGTGCCTCGTCGCGGCGCCTCAAAAACATTGCTTCTCACATTCTTAAAAATACAAACGATCAGATTTTCTTTTCCCATGTTCTTTATATTTGCATTATCTGGTGCTACCTAAGTTTTGTTACCTAGTTGCATGTGTGCCTGGTAACTATCCTGCTTTCGTCAGATTACTTATTCTTCACTACAGTTGATGTGATAACCTCTTAACCAGTGCCCAATCTCCATTACAGGAGTGCGCCCTGCTGACAGATGGTAGATTTTCTGGAGGGTCACATGGATTTGTTGTCGGCCACATATGCCCTGAAGCACAGGTACTGCTTTGCGGCACTCAAGCAGTGGCGACAATTTAATCTAAGCTGCATATTTTTGTACCAGTTTCTTTTCAGTAGCAGTTCAAGATTAAGTTTCTCACCGCGGTGCATGATAGTAAAAATAAACTGCAGAAGGTTTGTATTATTCACAAAGGAGCTATTTTTTCAGGAAGGTGGCCCAATTGGCCTTGTCCAGACTGGTGATGTAATCACCATTGATGTTAGTAAGAGGGTAATCGATGTTGACCTTACCGAACAACAGCTCGAAGAAAGAGGGAGGAAATGGACCCCACCACCATACAAGTCCACCAGTGGAGCTCTTTGGAAGGTACTATAGCTTGAACATTGTCTGCCTTGTTGGCGGCAGAATAATCCTTGGCTCCGTGCTGAATGTCTCTTCTCCATAATTGCAGTACATCAAGCTTGTGGCTCCAGCGTCGAGAGGATGTGTCACTGATGAGTAGGATGTGTTACATTCTTTTAGGCTGCGCACATGATGTGTTGTCAATCAAAGGCTGTTGCCAGGAACAATTGCCCTGTTAGAGTGATTCATGGTAGTGCGGATTGCATGTGGCAGGTATAACAATAAAATGCCGGTTTCTAAGAGCTTAGCAATGCTGTAGAAACTGCTGAATAATCGAGTGTAATCGGTCTGTTTAAGCTTGTGAGCAATCACATCTTTTTCAGTCTGTCCCTTGTTTTGTTTGTCTCATTGTTTGTACTACCTTGTTCAAAGAGATGAGCATGTGGATTGTTCTTTGGTCCTCCACTGGCGACCACTTGAGCATCTGGTGTGCTTAAATCTCTGCTGAGACTAAAATATTCTTGTATAACTGGAGTAGAAGTGTAATAAAGGTGGTTTACCAGTGCTACAAGCCGGCATTGCACATGTTAAGTTGTACTTTAATCGGTTTGATAGTTTCTGCCACGTGCGTTACTTGAGGAAAATGTTCTTCAGAGTTCTAAATCGTTCAAATATCAAATATACCAACAATCGATGAACAAAAAAAAATATTAAGGGGATTTTTTTTAGGGCCGGAATGTTCACAGTTGGACATATGGCCCGGCCCACGATTGGATTACTAGACCTGGTCGATCGGCCCACTCTATTTCTCCTCCAACCTCCGGCCAGAATCCACAGCGCCGCCGCGTTCGTCTGCCTCTGCCGGTCGGTCTGCTCGCCCAAGCCGCCGCTCCCTTGGTCTCTCCTCGCCTCGCAGTCCCAACCCACCGCGGCGCTGCCCTTCGTGATTCGCTTCTCGTCGCGCCGCGGCGTTAACTGGACAGCTGGTAGCGATGATAACCGAGCCGCCGGCGGCGGCGGAGAAGAAGAAGGCTCCACTCCCCAAGGTGGTCACGCTCAATAAGGCCCTCAAGCTGGTGAGCTCCTCGTTGCCGCCTACTCGGCTCCTCAGTTCCTTCTCTTGTTCCTTCCTTCTGGAGCGTGGTTTCTTCCCCCAGTGGTGTTTGATGCAATGTTTTCTCCTGCTCTCTTCTACCAGCGTTAGGTTTTGTAGACGTTGCCGCTAATTTGTTAGACGCAATCTCCAATTGCTATGGAAAATGAAATTCGGCCTCTCCGGTTGTTAGGCACTGTCTCTTGCGCATTCCCTGATCTGCGCACGTTGTTTGGGCTTAGATGCGTCATGCTGTATCGAATTAGTGTTCAACCTGCAGCACTGCTGTTGCGTTCAATTTACAGAAGCAGATATCTGACCCATGCCATAAATCATTCTCAGGCCCAAACATGGGTGGACAAAATGAGTGCATCAGAGCCGGATGAACTCAATGATAAGGATTTCGAGGGCCGGCAAGCAAGGTATATAATTCATTGATTTTTTTTCCTTTTACCTGGATAACTGGTATGTGACCGAGAAAATTTTTTAGGCTCGGTCTTGGTGCTAAAGCCGCACCTGGTGTGAAGCGTGCGGCTCCCACTGACCCAGTTGAGAGGAGGTTGCTTGGGAAGGTGAATGCCCAAAAGAGAAAGGCCTTGGAGGATGAAAGTAGAACCGCTAAGGAGGTGAATGAGGTTAGTGACGACGATGAGCCTGAAAGCAGGACCGGTGCCTTTAACAAGAAGAGGCCACTGCCTTCAGTTACTTCTACACCTTTAGGGAAGAAGGCAAAGTGACAAGCTGTATGCATAGACTATCTGAGTGATCGGCTTGTTCTGGTTGTGTTTCTTACTAACTCCCAGACTGATGCTATTTTCATGGGCATGGTATAGCTTCTCATAGTCCAGTGTGGTTCCTGAATTTAAAGGGATAGCTGTGCTTGATATTGTTAATGCTCATTGCCAATTCAGAAATTCACATACTCTCTGTTCAAAGATAAATACACTGTGGTATTTGATTATTTTTCCTTTGATTCCAATGTCATTCCCGCTCGCTTTTAGTGTTTCGTGTACTATGTTGGTTCATATGTTGCATTGTTCTAATAAAATTTCATGTAATTGTTTCTCAAGAATGTCAATTTAAAGGTACAGAAGTACAATATAATTAAACTTTTGCTGTCATGACTGTTTTAAAGGAACAATTCTTTAAAAGTTTACGTGCATCATGTTATATCATAATGTCTCTACCTTTAGATGAAGTGTGGCAAATGAGTTTATTCTTCTTTTCTGGAATGCAAATATCTCTTCTGTGTTTCTTTCTTTATTTAGTTCCAGGGAATCCTATTCCTATACAACAATAACAACAACAACAACAACAACATAGCCTTTCAGTCCCAAGTAAGTTGGGGTAGGCTAGAGTTGAAATCCACCAAAAGCCCCAAGTCACGGTTTAGGCACTTCAATAGCTGTTTTCCAAGTACTCCTATTCAAATATAGATCTCTAGGTATATCCTAAGCTTTCAAATCTCTTTTTATTGCCTCCCCTATGTCAATTTCAGCATTCCTCTACCTCTCCTCATATTATTAGCTTGGCTTAGGACTACACAATGCACTGGTGCCTCTGAAGGTCTCCTTTGGACATGGCCAAACCACCTCAACCGATGTTGGACAAGCTTTTCTTCAATTGGTGCTACCTCTAGGCGATCACGTATATCATCGTTCCAAACTCGGTCCATTCTTGTGTGACCGCAAATCCATCGTAACATACGTATTTCTGCAACACTCAGTTGTTGAACATGTCGAATCTTTGTAGGCCAACATTCTGCTCCATACAACATAGCCGGTCTAATCGCCGTTCTATAGAACTTGCCTTTTAGCTTTTGTGGTACCCTCTTGTCACAGAGAATGCCAGAAGCTTGTCGCCACTTGATCCACCCTACTTTGATTCTATGGCTAACGTCCGCATCAATATCTCACATCCCTCTGTAGCATTGACCCCAGATACCGAAAGGCATCTTTCTTAGGCACTACTTGACCTTCCAAACTCACATCTCCCTCCTCCTGTACAACTCCGTCAAAGTCGCATCTCATGGATTCGGTTTTAGTTCTGCTCAATCTAAAACCTTTAGACTTAAGGGTCTGCCGCCATAACTCTAGTTTCCTATTTACTCCCGCCTGACTTTCATCCACTAACACTACATCATCAGCGAACAACATACACCAAGGGATATCCCCTTGTATGTTTCTGGTAACCTCATCCATTACTAAGGCAAAGAGATACGGGCTTAAGGCTGACCCTTGATGAAGTCCAATTTTAATCGGGAAGTATATGGTGGGTCTGAACCATCTTGATGCAGCAGTGTCACAGCTGCTGTTGAGAGAACGGAAGAGAGTCAACAGGAGTATATGCAGAAAATGTCGTTTCTACCAATGTAAGGTTTCTTATGCTTGTGTTGTGACCAGTGAAAATTATGGGTGAATGAGAAACCCACGCTGCTACATTGCACAGGCAAAACCCAGATAGTAATCAATGTTACATCAACACTCAAATATTTTATTGTCTTTGTGCATTTCATAAGGTAAGTAACATGCCCATTTACTTTCGCTATTTCGTTTCTCTCTATAGTTGATTGTTCTCTGAAATGGTATTATGGTACCATGTGAAAGAGCTGGAAGTTGGATGATTTGTCTTCATGCCGTAGCTAGAAAAGTTAGATCTGATGTCAACACCAGTTGAACTTAGTACAGAAGAAGTTAGTACATAACAGTATAACACCTTAGATATGTGCAATTGCGCGAACATAAAAATCATTTTTGCTAGGGAAGAAAGCGCAACATATGGAACAATTTTTTTAAGGAGTTTTACCTCTGCTTTTAAGAAAACAATGTTACAGTACAAGATTCTACTGGGGTTACCAGTTACAAAGAAAGATCTCAAATCAAAGCCCTATTACAGTCACTAGATTTCAACAACATCCAAAAGCATTCTGATTCTGGGCTTTTACGGAGCCACAGTGAGGTATGAATCTATTCTAGGGAATGTGTGGGGAGAGAAATTAGATTCTTGTTTGCAAAAGTGCCTCTGTGCTTGGTAGTAATCTACCATTCTGATCAACAAACCATGTCCTAGCTCGAGAGGATGATGATATAACTTGAAGTCGCTGCCATGGCCAGCAGGTGTATCTTAATCTTCTGCGAGTACTTCCTATCTCCTGTTTTCCATGTGCATCTTCTTGTTCTATTTGTCTCGTCAACTCTTCTATCCTTTGCTGCAGCCCAGCAGATCTTCTGTCAGCAAGCTTGAGGCATGCATCTGCAGCAGCTTGTGCTGCCATTGCACTGGCTGCTAATTTCTCTTTTAGCTGTGCCTTGCTGTTTGCAGCCTCCAAGTCTGTTTTTACCCTTCCTAGTTCTTCTTTGAGCAAGGTAATCTGAAATGGTATCACATTATAACATGACTATCAATAAGGTACCATCAATCCATTAGAGATGTTTTGCCCCTGTTGGTATGAGGATGACTGAGAACTCAAAGAAAATCAAACTCATGTGTTTTCTATGTCAGTAAACGGTGACACTGTTGTCACAAGCATAGTCTGCCTTGTGTGTGTGTTGGGGACCTCCAGTCCGGGTTCTTTCTAAACTCAGCTCGTTGTATTTTTTTTCTTTTATCTTAGTGAAATGACATGCAACTTTCCTGTGTACTCTGAGAAAAAAAAACAGGGACATGTTTTTACTAAGGCGGCTCATGAAAACACGTCATTTGTCAGCATGCAAAGTATGCCTCATGACATCATCTTAATGAAGGTGAGATTTCAACTTATTTCTGACGGATTACCTCCTGGTTGAGTTCTTTGATGGCAGATTTTCCAGCTTCTACCTCCAGTTGGCATGCCTCCTTCCATCTTGTGGCCTCCTGTCCTACTGCTTTTGTCTCTAGAGTGAGGTCTTCCACCTTAGGCATTGAAAAAGAGAGTTCAGGTCCTTCTGGTTTACCTGGCTAGCGAATAACAAGCTGTACAAAATAGATTTATCCTTACCCTGTGAACCAGGAAGCTCTCCCTTTCTTCCAATTCTTTTATGTGTGATTCATATTTGTGTATCTTCTGAGCCCGTTCAGTAGCAAGAAGT